CTGTGACTGACTCGTCTCTTTCATACCAATAGGTTGTGCCTACACTATGTGTACCTGGTACTATGCTAGGCACTAGATATAAAAAGACATGGTTTCAGTTACCAAGGAATTCAGTTTCATTACCAGAATAAATGTGCAAAAGCAGACAATGACAGAAACTCCTGGAATATTTTAATGTTTCAATTTTTAAAATAGAAATTTTTTTTCTTATCAGAGTTTGAAAAAGTACATTAAACTTTGTTGGGTCAGTTTGATCCAATTCCCCTTAATTCTCTATTTTAGAAGAAAATTGAGGCCCACAGAAGTAAGTGATTTTTCCAAAATCATACTGGTGACTAAAAGCACAGCAAGGAGAGGCCAAATCTCCTGACACTCAGAATCATTCTTTCCCACTACATCACAATACCTCATTTATAATTCATTAAATGGACGCCTCTATTCTGTTTTTTTCATTCATGGTTACGTTGAGGCTGGTCCTAATAAAATAGCTAAATGTTCTGGAAAAAATTATAATAAACCTACACTCTTAACCAAAGATTGGCATCTGGGTTTGCACCTGCTTAGGGTTTAGGCTCCTGTCCAAGGAGTTTGTAACGGATTATATGAATACTACTTAGCAAAGCTAACTAAAACGAAGGGAAGATAAAAGAACGGCAGTATTAACACTAATCGAAGACTTGTTAGAAAATACCCATGGCAAATAAGCTTTAGGGCTTACTTCATCCTATCAGGTAATAACTCAACTAGTAAATTAAGGAAGTAATACATAATCAAGGAAATCCAGTTTTAAAGTATAAATATTTTTCATGAGCTCTAACAGGGCCCTCAAATTTCTGCATTTATTTACAATATTTTCCACATCTCTCCTAAATAATTTTGACAAACTTGTTTCTCAAAAAGTGCCTTAAATGGGCCGGCCCTGGGGCTTAGCGGTTAAGTGCGTGCGCTCCGCTACTGGCGGCCCAGGTTTGGATCCGGACGCGCACCAACGCACCGCTTCTCCAGCCATGCTGAGGCCACGTCCCACATACAGCAACTAGAAGGATGTGCAGCTATGACATACAACTATCTACTGGGGCTTTGGGGAAAAAAAGGAGGAGGATTGGCAATAGATGCTAGCTCAGAGCCGGTCTTCCTCAGCAAAAAGAGGAGGATTAGCACGGTTGTTAGCTCAGGGCTGATCTTCCTCACACACACAAAAAAGTGCCTTAAAGATGATATCATTGTCTAAACTTAAAGCACATAGATCATTTCTCAGTTACGGTACTTTTGAAGTTGTACACAAATATTCTGCTAGTTAGGCTGAAGGGAAAAAATATGCTGATGGCACTTTTTTTCAGACCTAAAACTGTTTGCATTTATATTTCAAAAATGCTGAATCATGAAATAAAGGAAACGGAGAGTGCAAAGAACCCAAACAAGTAGTTCATCTCATATTTTAAGTTTCCTAATTATGGTATCTTACCATTTTGGTCTTGTTAAGCATTTGCAATCAAGTAACTGAAGAGTCTAAGTAACCAGAGGAGTACAGCTCATTCTCAGAAACTGAACTTGAGGACAAGACTAAAAGCATTTATTTCTGCAACTTATTACACTTTCAACTTCCTGTTTTATTTAGGCAGCTCATCATGACCATTTCAGGTAACAGTGCAGAAGTTAACAAACCCAACTTCCTCTTTACAAAGTGATAAAAACTTCAGCAGTAGTTATGAGAATGGTTGATCTTATTAGCTTTTATAGAAAACACTTGCAAGGAAATCAGAGCCCATCACCACCAAATTCACCTCTGGGTTCACTGCTTTCAGAAAATGTAACAAAGATAAAAAGCAGCACTAAAATATATTCAGCATCATGACACACATGCCATAAAAAAATAAATAAATAAATCGAATGCACTTGAGGTCTTAGCTAAAAAGAGGAAAAAAAATGGAAACTAGAGTTCCTTCAAGGAAGAATCAATACAAACTAAGGCTGAAAATACCTTGTTTGTAATAGTGTCTCAGTTGTGAAGGTTTTCTAGGCCAAGAATCTCATTTAAGGATTATTTATTGTTTCTGAATGCTAAGATATTCACATCAAGAAATCTTGTTGGAAAAATACTTTCTCAATTCTCGAATTCAGTTAAAAGGAATCAGGAGCCTGGAGGAAAAGGGGGCAAAGCAGGTATGAAGCTGAAGGAGAATTAAAGTAATCTTACAAGTCAAAGCTCTTTCTTTTTACTTACAGATTCACAACAGAGAAATACAGATGGGTTTCATCTCTGTCTGGGAATAAGAATCTAACAAAATTTCAGTAATCTCAAATCATATGGATTTATTATACAAGATTTTTACTGTATCAGCTATTCTCATTATCCACACTAATGAAGACAATGTGGTTAATCTAAAAACTGTTTACTGAATATGAAATTCATCAGTATTTTTTGGCAGTAGATTTACCTTACTAATTATGATTTGCTTGCTATGTCATTATTACAATTAAACCACAAAAAGAAGTATGCTGGGAGACAAGAGGAAACTGGTCACAGATCTTCTGTTATAAAATCAAGACTATTAAGTTATTAATTTAAACACTGTTAATATCCAAAGACATCTTAATTTGCACTTTGAAATACAGATATATTTCCCAAAGTTTAATTAAAAGGGCATTCTAACCTGGTGTCAAAGACAAAACCCAACAGCACTAGTAAATGTAGTATCGCTCAGGCACAATAAACTCCTAAGTTTATTGTTATTTAAATTCTTAGTGAAATATTGTTGTAACATTTTTGCTTAAAATAAGTGGACCATCAGTTGGGCTAAAAAATGTTTTGTTATCCCATGATCTTCACTGTAATTTAATTTCATCTGAATCAAAACAATTTGCCTTAGAATAAGCATTTTATTCTAGATTTTTCTCCAGCATAAGTTCATATTTAAGATGCCTTTTTCCCCCCTAATCTTATACATCTATGAGAATTTCCAAGACAGAGAAAATCTAATGCTAAAGTGTCGTTCATTGGCCTGTGAGTGTTTGGCACATTCTTCAGCATTTCAAAATGGCATGCCATATGTAGGTGTGATGTATCAAATTATTCTGTACAGAGAACTCACGGATCATAAACAGTTCCCTCCTACACCTCAATCTCTTTTATTAAAAAAAGAAAGAGCTCAGATACATTTACAGAGAACTCAAGGGGGCACATTTTGTAATAGCCACCGTGGAAACAAAAGACATAATTCTTGTCCTATAACAAGTCGTCTAGTGAAAGCATTCTAATTTCTACAGGCCCCGAAATCATGTATTTACTGAAAAGCCTGACAAACTGTTAAGTGTGCAGTTGTCAGAAAAAAAGTTATTCCACCTAAGGTAGAATATGCTTTTGTATTTAAGACACTTTTTAAGAACTAAGTATACAAATCACACACTGGCAAATTCAACTATAATCAGACACCACAGTGGAGCATCAAAGAAGGCACAATGCTTTGTCCAGACCTGAATGTGTTAACATAAGGTGTGTGCTATATACAAAGCCTTTCTGGAGTTTTAAAAGAAAATCCGTTGGCTATTCTTGATTTGTTAACAAGAAATCGAAAACTATTTTTCAAAAATTATGTTGAGGATGTAAGCCGCAGTGGATGGAGTCGCCGCGGGGGCCGTACGTACACACATACAATCAAGGGAGTGTCTGCGGGGAAAAGAGTGGTGTTCAAATTCTGAAGCAAATGTCCTGGGGCTTACACATTTATCACTGCGAATTAGTTCAGCCGATAGCATGTGAGAAAAGAGGTGGATGTGTGGAGAGGCGGACAACACATGGGGACCTTTCCCTGTCGAGGAGTCGTGACAGCAAAATCACTTCCTGAGGAAGGAGGAGCAAAAGGGAAGTTAAGAGGCCACCCTGACCAGGAAGTGACTTGCTCTAAACTAGTCTCAATCATATCTAAAAATGGGGGTGGGTGGGGTGAGCCCCAAAAGCTAAAGGCGGGTAAAATAACTGCTTCCTGATACGTCGCGACATCACCATCGCCCCCTCTCTTAATTACAGAAAAGAGTCCACAGTTACTATTCAATAAGGGAAAGTCTCTTCTGCAGGAAGGCCACTGGGCTGTGCCTCAGGCCCCGGAGGAAAAGCAGAGAGTTGAGGAATGGGGAACTGGAGCCACCGTGAGGCAAAGGAAAGCCCCTCAAGAGGGAAGCGTCCCGACTGCGGAGAGCGTATGCCAGCACGGGCCAAAAAGCTTCTTTCTCCTGGGGACGCTGCCAGGGTTCCCACTGCGGCCAGATCGGGCCCCTGTTTCCTGTCGCGGGACCAGGTAAGAGAAGATGCGGACCCCTTACCTTCTCCTCATCCGACACCCGATCGTCGAAGTCGGCCATCTTGGGCTGCTCTGGCACAGCCCGGCCCCGGCGCGAGGCAGGCCGGGAAGAAAGCCGAGTGATGGAATCACCGCGGGGGCCGTCGGAAGGACCAGCCCGGAAACGCCGACCGAGAGGGCGCCATGTCAGTTACGGGCGGGGGTGATGGCTTCGGGCGCTAGCGCCCCAGGAAGTCGGCTTTGCCTGAAAGGATTTTAAGTCTAATATCTTTCTCACTGAGTTACGTTCATTTCCCCATTCGTCTATTGGACGCTGGGAGCGTGTTTCGACTGTTCTTGGCGCCCGAGCTCCATCCGACCAAATAGCAGTTGCTACTTCTATGGGTTTTCCCAGTACCAGTGATCTCTATGACAGCCGAGTCCAAAGGGCTAAGTGCTGCTCGGCCCCTCGAACGATCGGTGGATTTTCCAACCCCAGGAATGGGGTGAAAGGTGACCCTCACTCGTAGGGAAGCAAAAACACTTCATTCTGGGGTCACATCTCAGTCCAGTTCCTCCAGAATAGGTGCTGCTATTCGCCCCTTCCCGCCCTTCGAAGGAGGAGGTAGCCCCACTCCTGGCGCGTTCCTCCACTTGCCAAAGCTCAGTCCCCGTGCCCTGGAACTTTCAGCCTTCACAGAGACCGACTTCAGGTCCGCCACTATCCCAGGATTCCCGACTCCCAGTTTCCTGCCCTCCCCTCCCAGCTCCCGGCGTCTGAGGGAGCGGCAAGATGGCGGACGGTGACGGCCTGGGTGAAGTCGCGACTACTGCGGCCTCTTCTCCTGTACCTACTCCCGGCCTGAGCCCGCCGCTGGGCTGGAGGGAGCGGCTGCGGGCAGGGCTGGCAGGGACTGGGGCCTCGCTGTGGTTCGTGGCGGGGCTGGGGCTGCTTTATGCTCTGAGAGTCCCACTGAGGCTGTGTGAGAATTTGGCAGCGGGTGAGAGGCCCAGACTTCCCCGGGGACGGGCGGCAGGGCTAGGAGAGGTGCCGGGGACAAAGGCCAAAGGGCAGAGATTCTCAGTAGTCACTGGAGGGCCTCGGAGCATGAGTCGGTGGTCCGCGACCAAGTGGGTTCTTTTCTCCTGGGTCAGAACCCCGCAGCTGATTGTCAAACCTGAGCTGCTGCTACCGGCTCCTCCCAAGAGCTCTTAAGATCCGCCCTCTGTCTTCTGTCCTCGTTTACCCGAGGAAAAGCCACCTGACAAGCTGTAAGCTTTAGGTGGTAGGACAGATGAGAGCATTTTCAGACTTGGATGCAGGATTTATATACACCCGCACCGTTGGTAGGATCCCTTAAAAATCATTTCTTTTGAGTCTCTCGCTGCTCAGCTGCGAGTACCCACACCCAGACAACAAAGACGAGCGCTTCTGTAATTCAAAGATCTAAAAGAAAGAAAATGATCTTAGCCAACCATTCTCATGTTTTAAAATAGTTCTGTCAAGAAACAGTTTTCGTGATATCTTTGTCTGTTCTTTGTTTTAGGCTTTATCTTTAGTAATAAAATAGAACAGTGCAGGAAGAGAAAGAGAGCCACGAACAGCAGTGGGTTCTTTTCTTAGTTCTTTTCACATTTTTAGAGAGCTTGCTATGTAGTCTGGCCTGAAGATACAAAGACGTGTAAGAAGTGATGATCCCCGTGGATTCAGCAAATATTGTCCTTTAGCTAGAGCCAGGACTAAGTGGATGGGAGCCAGCGCCTCTTACCTTGTCATTACAATATTTCAACTCAAGCTCTGAGCAGCAACCTCAGACCAAGATGAAAGTATTTCTGTTATGTGATGACTGTGAACTATCAGTACTGTGGTTTATTTTTCTGTAGAAAGAAAAGGCAAATGTCCCCTTTTCTTTTCCTTGACATGATGTGAAAGACTGAGATAATGTTCTGAAATATTTTAGACTTTTTAGAACATAGGTACTATGTAAATTCAGATATAATTAGCACACTAAAACAAGCTAAATCAATTGTTCTTCTTAGACTGTTTGAAGGAGCTAATTTGGTGTCTGTAACAGGTTAATGAAGTGCTTACTAGTGGTTTGTATGCTCAGTGAAATGTTATTCATTGAGTTTATCATTTATTTTTCTATGTGTTAACTAGGTAACACTGTTTAGATGAGAGTAGTTGACTATTATAGATTTTTATTTCTTTCTAAAACCAAAAGTATGTATGAGACAATTATTTGAAGAATCTGGTCCAGGCTTTCAGTGAGTCAGGTGCAGGGAGCTCTCAGTTTGTTGCTGTTATCTTTGGTCTGTTTTGCCTCTCAAGCTGACATATCAAATACATACACTGTTTCCCTCCTAATTTGAAAGGCAGGTTTGTATCTCACCAAATCATGAGGGAGTGGTTTTAAATCTTTGTAACAGGATGTTTATTTAGCTTATCCTTATAGATTTGTAAAAGTTCTTGTCTAAATTATGCTTTATAACTTCTTAGTTTTATTCTCAAAAACAAGGTAAATTATCTCATTTTGATTTGCTTATTTAACAAATCAACAGTGTAAAATTCTATGCTTACATGTGTGAAGGCATTTTTAAGATATGATACAGTGGGAATTTAGCTTTTTAAATTTACAAAATTAAAATTTACAACTTTCTCAAATGAATCTCATACCAGATATTAATACTACTCGTGTTCCTTCACTCATAAAGATACCTACATATTTGTAACTTGAGTACTTTGAATTTGCACTTTTTAAACTGATTTTTTTTTTCCTTTTGGCAGTGACAGTATTTTTAAATTCATTGACACCCAAATTCTATGTGGCCCTTACAGGGACATCTTCTTTGATATCAGGACTAATATTTGTAAGTAGTTCCCATTTCTTTCATGCTTTGGTGTTTATCTAAAGATCAAATCTTTTTATATGGCTATAGTAATTATGAATACTTATAGATCAGTATGCTCAAAATGTGTTCAGTATTTGAAAAAACATTGCATCTTCCTCCCACTTTTAGAAATTGGCAGTATTTATTTGCATGTAAAAGACTACTATATATGGTAGGGGGCAGGGGCTGGGAGGTGAGTTGTGAGCTAAATACCTGCAGGGCCCAGCTTGGTAACAAAAATGAGTGAAATGGACAGAGTGTAAGAATTAAATTCCTTATTTGAGGACTGGGTAATCTGGACAGTGCATGCTCCTTCTAGAAGACACTAAAGCTAATTGTTGCCATTTAGATTTGCAGACCAGTATTACCAGATCTTCCAATTCTTTAAAAGATTTCAAGAGAACCTTATTATACAAGTTTTTATATAAGATCTCCCAGTACTTTAATGTGGGCAGTATTGGGCAGACTAAAAATTTATCTCTGTCTTGAATTCAGCCAATAGGCTGCCAGTTATCTTCTCTGGAGTGCTTTTTTTGTGTGTGTGAGGAAGATCAGCCCTGAGCTAACGTCCATGCCAATCCTCCTCTTTTTGCTGAGGAAGACCGGCCCTGAGCTAACATCTATTGCCAATCCTCCTCCTTTTTTTCCCTTTTTCTCCCCAAGGCCCCAGTAGATAGTTGTATGTCATAGTTGCACATCCTTCTAGTTGCTGTATGTGGGACGCCGCCTCAGCATGGCCGGACAAGCAGTGCGTCGGTGCGCGCCCGGGATCCGAACCCGGGCCGCCAGTAGTGGAGCCCACACACTTAACTGCTAAGCCATGGGGCCGGCCCCTCTCTGGAGTGTTTAAGAGCAGGGTTTTGAAGCCAGGCTAACTGTCACTTTAGTTGCATGCCTTTGAGCAAGTTAACTTTTCTAAACCCTGATTTCCTCATCTGTAAACTGAGGATAATAATAGTATCAACTTCATAGGATTATGAGGACTGAATGAGATGATATGTGTAAAAGCTTGCAGCAACATGGGAGCTAGCTCAGAGTGAAGGCTTAATGAATTTTGGCCATTGTTATTCTGAGAGGTCCCACAATAAAGAAACCTGTTTAACTTTTTTGTGTGTGTGTGAGGTAGACTAGCCGTGAGCTAACATCCGATGCCAATCCTCCTCTTTTTTTGCTGATGAAGATTGGCCCTGGGCTAACATCTGTGCCCGTCTTCCTCTAGTTTATATGGGACGCTGCCACAGCATGGCTTGACAAGTCGTGCGTTGGTGTGTGCCCCAGATCCGAACCTGCGAACCCCGGGCCGCCGAAGCAGAGCGCGCGCACTTAACTGCTGCGCCACCCAGCTGGCCCCGAAACCTGTTTAACTTTAATTCAGCTTTTCCTTGTCTTATTTGACTAAGCTATCATTTTTAATTAAAACATTGTTTTAAATTTTATAATCTCTAGTAACGTCCCTAGGAAATAGTGTTTCCTAGCATAAACTTTGTAAAAATATTGCTGCAGATAAAAATCTTAGAAAGTATTATGGCATACATGGCCAATGAATTTTTCTGTACTTTTTTCTCATCTCTAGGTGGTGCTCTCCAACTATAGTAAAAATAATGACATGTGTATTGGAATGTTTTGGTTTTTTAAATTTTCTATAGAGACTAACACTTGACCATTTTGTTAAAGTGACGTGCCAGACAAGAAAGGGATTTTTCTTCTGACTTAAAAAAAAATTATTGAGGAATTCAGGATGAAAACGATGTATAAATAATAAGCCTCAAAATTTATTGATTTATAAAGCTCACTCATAATTAAGCATATTTTAGCATATCTTGTCAACAGCATGTAGAAGTCTAAATAAAGAGAATAAACTATCTTTAAACAGCTGATATAGTGGAAAAGGCATTGATCTTGGAACCAGGAGGTTTAGTTTTGAGTCTTGACTCTGCCACTTACTAGCTGATAACTTTGGGCAAGTCACATAAATTCTCTGAGTCTTAATTTCCTCATTTAGAGGCTGGCCCTGTGGCTTAGTGGTTAAGTGCGTGCGCTCTGCTACTGGCGGCCCGGATTTGGATGCCGGGCGCACACCGACGCACCGCTTGTCCAGCCATGCTGAGGTGGCGTCCCACATACAGCAACTAGAAGGATGTGCAGCTATGACATAGGACTATCTACTGGGGCTTTGGGGAGAAAAAGGGAAAAACAGAAGGAGGATTGGCAATAGATGTTAGCTCAGGGCCGGTCTTCCTCAGCAAAAAGAGGAGGATTGGCATGGATGTCAGCTCAGGGCTGATTTTCCTCACACACGCACAAAAAAGTTTCCTCATTGATCGGGGGGGATTTGTTGTTACTCTTTTTTTTTTTTTTTTTTTTGGTGAGGAAGATCAGCCCTGAGCTAACATCCGATGCCAATCCTTCTCTTTTTTTGCTGAGAAAGATTGGCCCTGGGCTAACATCCGTGCCCGTCTTCCTCCACTTTATATGGGACACTGCCACAGCATCATTTTGACAAGTGGTGCGTCGGTGGGCGCCTGGGATCCGAACCTGCGAACCCCGAGCCACTGAAGTGGAGCACATGCACTTAACTCCTTGCGCCAGGGGGCTGGCCCCCTGTTACTACTCTTTTTAAACCGGAATTTTAAATTTACAAAAATTAGGAAATTCAAGTAACATTTTAAAGGTTAAACTATGTCATTACGTTTGCAATATTGATAAGTTTTATTAGAAAAGGTTGTTATTGGGGGCCGGCCCCGTGGCTTAGTGGTTAAGTGGGTGCTCTCTGCTACTGGCGGCCCGTGTTCGGATCTGGGCATGCACCGATGCATCACTTGTCTAGCCATACTGAGGCAGCGTCCCACATACAGCAACTAGAAGGATGTGCAACTATGACGTACAACTATCTACTGGGGCTTTGGGGAGAAGAGGGGAAAAAAAAACTGAGGAGGACTGGCAATAGATGTTAGCTCAGGGCCAGTCTTCCTCAGCAAAAAGAGGAGGATTGGCATGGATGTCAGCTCAGGGCTGATCTTCCTCACACACACACAAAGAAAAGGTTATTATGTTTATAATTTCTTTTACTACCTGAAATGAGGAAGCTAGCTGTGCTGCTTTTGTTACTACTACCTGAAGGGGTAGTGTGCTTGGGAGGTTGAAGAATAGCAGCAAAGCCAATTGTCTAACTAATTATTACAAGTGAAAAGATCATTCTGAAAAGAAAACACAAGATCCAGTGGAAGTGTATAACACAGCTTTCTGTTCTGTGGAATCAGGAAAAGTTCCCTGAGGACGTGTCATTTAAGCTAAAACCCAAAGGAGCCAGGCAAAGGGAGTTGAGAAAGCTGAAGTGTCCAAATAGGAAACATTCTGCTAATTCAGCACAGAGAGCTTCTTTTGATTCCTCTTTTTATAACAGTGATAAATCATGGAAACAGAAAGAAGTGAATAGCCTGGTTTTTCAGTAGTTCAATTTGGGAATCAACCTGGCACTTAACGTACATTAATAATACTGCCAAATACTGGAGTGTGCTTGGTTGTTCAAAACGCACTTATAATTCTTGTTAACCATATTTAATAGGTAGGACATTGAGGCTTTGAGAGGTTAGAGGTTAAGTGACTTGCCTAAAGCACACAGCTAACATATGGCTGAATTGGGAGTTAAATGTGGGCATTCTAACCCTAGTCAAGTGCTTAATCCACCATGTTAGATGTCCCAAAATTGTTTTTCTTCTAATTATACTACAGATAGAATAAAATGACAGTGTAACATAATAAATTATTTATAGATTAAACACTTCTTATTGTTTTTTAATGGTTTATTTACAGATGTGTTTCTTCTAGTTTTGCCTAAGCTCGTCTAATGACAAAGCTATGAAAAAGGTATTTCAGTTTTGCTTGGCATGTGTTATTGGAGAATCTTGTGTTTGGTTATTTTTTGGAAGGAGAGCACATTTAAAATGCTGAATGAAACAGGAACATCTTGAGAGAACGTTTTGATTTGAGCTCATATATCTGCTGATCAATTCTATTATAAATGAAGGATTTTTTTTTGTTTGTCATAGGTATTTGAATGGTGGTACTTCCATAAGCATGGCACATCTTTTATTGAGCAAGTATCTGTAAACCATTTGCGACCACTGATGGGAGGAACAGAAAGCATTTCAGAGCCAGGTTCTCCTTCCAGGAACAGAGAGAGTGAAACTAGCAGACACAATTTGTCAGGTGACTACTTACCTAATGTGTTTTCAGAGCTGTATAGTTAAGACTGTGTTTGGCCGTGAGAGATAGAAAATTCACAACAGCATAGAGAAGTTTGTTTGTCTTTCATGTCAATATAGGTAATCCATGGCTGATATGGAGAGCAGTGATCATCAGAGACTCACTCCTTCTATTTTGTTAGCGTGCCATTTCCAAATGCGGTTTTTCCTTGTGGTCCAAGACAGTTGCTTTGACGTCAGCCATCATATCCAGATTTGAATCAGCAGGAAGGAGAATAGGCCGGGAGAAGACACCCTTTCCCCCCACCCCACCCCACAGTAGCCAAGAACACTTCCCAGAAGTGTCGCGTACTATTTCAGCCTAACTTCCTACTGGGCAGACTTTTTTTTTTTTTTTCTCCCAAAGCCCCAGTAGATAGTTGTATGTCATAGTTGCACATCCTTCTAGTTGCTGTATGTGGGACGCGGCCTCAGCATGGCTGGAGAAGCGGTGCGTCGGTGCGCGCCTGGGATCCGAACGTGGGCCGCCAGCAGCGGACTGCGTGCACTTAATCGCTAAGCCACGGGGCCGGCCCGCTACTGGGCAGACTTTTGTCAAAGGGCTGGAGTTATCTGTAAGGGAGGCTAGAAATTGTAATCATTTTCTCAGTGTACATATGCCCAGCTAATAATCAGGAGATCTTATTAGGTAAAGGAGAGAACAAAGACGATTAGCATCTCTGCCAAGAGAGCAAAGTTAGGAAAAATACTTTTTATTTTCAATGTATTTAGAAAGACATCAAAATCTCAGATATTTATGTATGATATGCCACTGTCATAATTTAATTGTAGACTATTCCTCTGTATCCAGTAATACAAAGTAAATATTAATGCTATGCAATTAGGAAAGTAAAATTTTCAAAGCCAAATAGAAATGATATTTTTGGAATATTGTTCCTTTCATTTGGTATAGATAATAATCGTACAGTAATAATACAAATGAATTAATTCCATAGATTGCCATAATATCTCATTTGTTCAATAAACCTAACCACTAGAGTTATATTAGTTTAGTAGAAAAATACTACCTGAATGCAGTTGCTGGCACTTAAGTGTAGTCGAGGAAGGTCTCTGAGAACATACCATTTAAGCTAAGCCCTGAAGCACGAGTAGGTGTTGATTAGGAATACTAGAGATGAGGTTGGCAGCCATTCAAAAGTACAGGAAGGAATAACGGTAATTTTCTTTCCTCTTCTCCTTTCTCCCCTTTCATAAAATAATTGCAGAACTCCTAAGGATGAAACATATTAAGATGAATATGACATAGATCTGTCCTCAAGAAGCTCAGTGTCCAGTATGTAAATAATTATAAGAATAATGCATTATCTAATCTTATTCCCTGTTGTAAGATTGAGTATACCATTTCGTGAGAGTGAAGATAAGCTTAAAAACGTTCTAGCTTGGTAGAGGATACAGACATATAAATAAGTGATGGCAAAAGATATGAAAGATGCTTTTATAGAGTATATAGAAGATACTGTGGTGACAGAAAAGAGGGGTAGTCAGTTATTGGAAGAAGGGCCACAAAACGTTTCACAGAAGAGATGCTTGGGTTGACCTCAAAAGTGAGTTAACGTTCTCCTTTGGTTCAACTTTCTCTCCCTGGGTAACTGCATCTCATTCTTTAATATTAACTTCCATGGACATATATGCTGAGGGAAGCAATTTTAAATTTCTACCCCCAAGCCTCTAAGTTTTTAGACCCACATTTCTAATTCTTTGCTAGAAATCTGCACCTTTAATAGCCCCAAGCACCCTGAACTCACTTTCTCCAAAATGAAACTAATTATCTTCTTTCAAAAGTGCTCCCTCCACAATCCTAAAATCTGTTAATGATATCCAATTCCCATACTAGAAACCTTTGAGTTGTTTCAGATTATATCTCTTTTGTTTCCCCTTCCTTCTTCAAACAATTGACCCCTATCATGTTCTATTGATTCCACTCAAAAATTATCTTGAGGGGCCGGCCTGTGGCTTAGCGGTTAAGTGCACGCGCTCTGCTACTGGTGGCCCAGGTTTGGATCCCGGGCGCGCACCAACACACCACTTCTCCGGCCATGCTGAGGCCGCGTCCCACATACAGCAACTAGAAGGATGTGCAGCTATATGACATGTAACTGTCTACTGGGGCTTTGGGGGAAAAAAAAGGAGGAGGATTGGCAATAGATGTTAGCTCAGAGCTGATCTTCCTCAACAAAAAGAGGAGGATTGGCATGGATGTTAGCTCAGGGCTGATCTTTCTCATTAAAAAAAAAAAAATTATGTTGACTCTATCCTACTTTCTTTTATTTCAATGTTTGTTGCCCCATATCTATCCCCTTGACATTTCTTTCCTAGACTATTGCTATAGTATCCTAACTGGTTTGTCTGCCTCTGATACTTCTCCTTTTAGTACATCCTCTTCCCTTACAGTGTAAGAAAGTGGTTCTCAAACTTTTTGGATTCAGGAGTTCTTGACACTCTTAAAAATTATTGAGGACCTCAAAGAGCTTATGTTTATATATATTGATTATATCCTCAGTATTTACCATATTAGAAATTAAAACAAATTTTAAAAATATTTATTTATTAATTATTTTAAATATAACAATAAACCCATTGCATGTTAACATATTTTTATGGACTGAACTGTGTCCCCTCCCAAATTCATATGTTGAAGCTCTAACCTCTTATGTATCTATATTTGGAGTTAGGACTTTTAGGAGGTAATTGAGCTTAAATGAGGTTGTTAGGGTGGGGTCCTAATCTGATAGGATTGGTAGCTTTATAAGAAGAGGAAGAGAAACAGTTCAATTTCTCTCTCTATTATGTAAGGAGACATGTAAGGAGACAGGGAGAAAGCAGTCATCTGCAAGTCAAGAAGAGAGGTCTCACCAGAACCTGACCCTGTTGGCATGCTGATTTTAAACTCTCAGCTCTCAGAACTGTGAGAAAATAAATCTCTGTTGTTTAAGCCACCCAGTCTATGGTATTTTGTTATGGTGGCCTGAGCTGACTATTATGAAAAATAATTATATTTTCCAAAACAAAATTTTAGTCAAAAGACTGCCACTCTTTTACATTGTTTAAATCTCTTTAATGTCTAGCTTAATAGAAGACAGCTTATTTTAATATCTGCTCCTGCATTGTCTTTTGTGATATGTTGTTTTGGTTGAAGTATATGAAGAAAATTTGGTCTCACACTGATATGTAGTTGGAAAAGGGAGAGGTATTTTAATAACCTTTTCGGAAAATTGTGGATATTCTTTTTTGACACTACACCAAAACTTAGTAAGAGTTACTTTCTTAAACTTTAGTTGCAACGTGGAATCTGAAGCTGTACCAATTAATTTTTCATGCTCTGTTATGTTAAAATCTATTGGTATATCTTACATTTTGAGTAAGTCTTTTACTTATGCATAATTTTATAACATCACACGTTGGTCATTTAGAAAATACTCGTTCACTGAGTTATGCCTATCTTCCAAATGTTGGCACATTTTATTGTACAATTTTTAAAAATCATGTTTGTTAATATCACTGCCAAGCTCATAGAAAAGCCATTCAGTATTGGGAAATTGCCAGGCTCATAGCAAAATTCTAATATTTACTTTAAAGCTATGCTGTGTGATTTTATCATACTTCCGCTGCTTAGAATGTTCTTCATCTGGCAACCTTCTACTCATCTTTTACAGTGAGTTAATGTTAGTTCAAATATCACCTCCTTTCTAAAGCCCTCCCTCATTTTCCCAGAGCAAAATCAATCGCTTCCTATATTTCTCTCAGGTCAAAGCATATCTCTACTGTAGTACTTATCACACAGTTTAGTGGTAGTTTACATGACTAACTCTTCTGCTACATTTAATTCAATTAAACAAGCTAGTTCCAAATGCTGTGCTAGGCTCCAGGAATGCAAAAATGATCAAAGTTTTTTGTTTTTTTTTTTTTTTTTAAAGATTTTATTTATTTATTTTTTTCACCCCAAAGCCCCAGTAGATAGTTGTATGTCATAGCTGCACATCCTTCTAGTTGCTGTATGTGGGACACGGCCTCAGCATGGCCGGAGAAGCGGTGCATCGGTGCGCGCCCGGGATCCGAACCCCGGGCCGCCAGCAGTGGAGCGCGCGCACTTAACCCCTAAGCCACGGGGCCGGCCCAATGATCAAAGTTTTAAGAGCTCATATTTCAAAGGGAAAAACTGAAAACCAAACAGATAATCACATTGTAATATGGTAAGTGCTGTAATTGAATTATGAACCAAATGCTATGGAGGCACAAGTAAGAGAATGACTAGATTTAATTGTATGCTGTGTGACAGCAGCCTTATTCATCTTTGTGCTCTCTGTGGCTAGCACTGTGCTTAGCATACAGTGACTATACAATAATTTGGTTAATTTAAGATTTAACTGCATTTGATTAAACTGTCTCATTTTCCCCTTTTTCCCCTTTGTTTTTTAGAATGCAAGGTATGGAGAAACCCTCTAAATCTTTTCAGAGGAGCAGAATATAGGAGGTATTACATTTTGCTTTCAGTATAATTATGGCCTTGGTTTTAGAGTAAAAGTATTATGGAAACATTGGTTTTTATAAATATATCACAGCTCTTCTAGTTGGAGATACTGATATATAATAAGGTAAAATGATTAGCCCAGGGTTTAGTTTTTTAAACTGTATTTACTTTTATAATCATGACAAACATTGCTTCAAACGATATGTTTGTGATACATAATATATATACATTTGGCTCCTGGTTTATCACAGAAAGCCTTTTCAAAGAATTCATGAGATGAAGAAAAAATTACAAATGTCAGCGTATTCCTATGCATCTGGGCTCATTTTCAAAATTTATTTGAGGATTCGCTAAAAAATATCAATATGAATATGAGCTTCATTTGTGCAACGGTACAGGGTGTAGTGTTTTTATACTGCATTTTATATTGCCATTTCCTATCTGCACTACTGTGTCCATTTCTTTTCCAGTTTTTACTCTAAATGAGAAAACATCTTTTGAAACTTACAACCAAAGATACTTTACTTTTGTTTTGAGAAGGCTGTGTTTTACCTGGAGGTAGACTGGGACGTGTTATTTAATTCATTGAACAAGGAACATTATGTGTCTACTGTGTATAGGCACTGTGCAAAATGATGGAGATACAAAATGATTAAGCAGTAATCCCTGTGCTTAAGGACTTGATATTGTAGGACAGTCACCTCCTGGGAAGTGAAAGCTAGGCTTTTCTAAGAGATGGCATTAGCCTGTATTAAGGAATTCTTCAAGAAACAAGTCCTTGAACTTCTCACAGTATTTATTAAAAAGTTTTTAGGCTGTTCCTTGTTGTGTTATATAGTGTCCTCTTCATGAAGATCTTAAAGAGAAATTTCTTATCTTAGTATCAGGAATATTTATGCTTCTTTTTGAATGATTAGTTTATCTTTACATAAAAGTATAGGTTGCATTGGTAATCGTTATGTGGTTCTAAAAAGCTTAAAGTCATATTGTAGCCAACCCTTAGCAAGTGCATAGAACTCTTTGGTATCCATTTCATATGTTAGCTTCATTCCAGGCTCCCTTTTATGGCCCGATCCTTGTTTTTACTTTACTTGAGTCTTTTTTATTTACTTCTAATTTATGTTATTGATATTGTACATGATATTTTTAATTGCTTAAATCATTTTGGGAATAATGCAGATTGTTGATAAATAATTTTTTGTGGTTTTAGAATGTGTAGCAAAACTTAGCTAAGTGAACAAGGATTTGTTTTTTCTCTTCATGCTCATTTCTCACAAAATAGCTAAAAACTTTATTTTTTTTATTTTTTAAAAATTTTTTATTTATTTATTTTTTTCCCCCAAAGCCCCAGTGGATAGTTGTATGTCATAGATGCACATCCTTCTAGTTGCTGTACGTGGGACGCGGCCTCAGCATGGCTGGAGAAGTGGTGCGTCGGTGCGCGCCTGGGATGCGAACCCCGGGCCGCCAGCAGCGGGGCGAGCGCACTTAACCGCTAAGCCACGGGGCCGGCCCGGCTAAAAACTTTAAATAGCAAGGCAACTTATACTATTAAATAACTTAAAATCATTGATCATATATATAAATACCACTTACAATGTGCTTTTAAAATGCTTATTTTTCTGATTATAAAATGTATGCGTATTCATTATGGAAAATGGGAAAATAAAGAGATATATAAAAAAGAAAGTAAAAATCACCTTTTCCTACCACTAAGTGGTAACTGCTAGTAGTATTTCCATCCGGTCTCTCTTCTGTATGCATATATAGAAATAAAACTTGAACATCATAATGTTTATAAAGTTTTACATCCTTCTTTTTTTCTAACACAATGTGTGAATTTCCTACAGAATTTCTCCAAAACATGAATTTCTTCAAAAACATGATTTTTCACGCTTGTACTATGTTCTATTACATGGAGGTAACTTACATTACCTACTGCTCCCCTGTATGGGTCACAGATTATATTTCACTGTTAACATTTACACTAGAAGGATATCTTTATATATATATATAAATATATAAATATATATATATATATATTTAGCCACATCTGTGATTATTTCCTTAGAGTTGATTTGTAGCACTGGGATTAGTGAAACAAAGGGTGTGAACAGTTTTTTTTTTGTTTTCCCTTTAATCTTTTCTTTTTTTAATTATGGAAAACTTCAAAAATAAACAAAAGTAGGGAGAATGATATAATGGAATTCCATATACCAATCCCCTAGCTAGATGTGAATATTTTTAAGACTCTTGATAGATATTACCTAAATGGTTTCTGGAAAGAGAAATATAAATGCCAATTTACATTTATACCAGCAGTATGTGTGAGTATTACATTTATATCCTTGACAACCTGTATTTGCCAATTTGATAGGTGAAAAGTAAAAATGTCATTTTAATTCGCTATTTGTTAATTACTAATGGGATTGGACAGTTAAAAATGTGTTTATTAGCCAGTTTGTTAACTTGCTATTAATTATTGTGGGTTTCAGGGGAATCTGAAAGTTTAAATTTCTAATTTAGTAAAATCTGGAAGGAGTTTCTCTTTGCTTTCATGCTTTGAAAGCCCTTTACCATTTTGACATCTAGTAAAAATCTACCTGTGTTTTTTCTAGTTTCTTTGTAGTTTTACTTTTAATATTTAATTGTAGCTCACTGAGAATTTATTTAATTATATTTAGTAAGGTATATGTCTAAGTCAAATTGTTTTATCCCTTCAAATCCAATTTTGAAGCACTGTTTGTTGATAATCTAGCCTTTTCCTTTTTAGTTTTTGATGTTTTATTATTGTACTCTAAGTATTTTTTGTATAAGCTATCTCTTGTTTTACTGATTATAATAAGCTTTTAAAACATCCTAAAATAGAATTTGTAACAGTATATTTTTGAAATTTAAGGTAGTGTCTGTTATAGCAGGCAAACGCTCTCTCTCATGTTCAATTTACATATTTTCTTGTGTTTTGGTAAAGATACACTTGGGTGACTGGTAAAGAGCCACTTACATACTATGACATGAATTTGTCAGCTCAGGACCATCAGACCTTTTTCACCTGTGACACGGACTTTTTACGTCCTTCAGACACAGGTACGTCATATCTGTTCATGGGATAAACAGTAGTCATAAAAATTATTTTAAAAGTTCTTTAAAATTATCTGTTATAATATACAAAGTTATTTGGCTTGGAGTTGTTTGCATCATTGATAAGAAACCAGATTAAATTGAAACTAATTATGATTGTAAACTAGGTTGTTATATTACCTTTACTTCTTATAAAGAATTTAAAGTGTTTTATAAAAATATTAAATTGCTTCTTTTAGTACTTAAATAACCTTTCAGATCAAATACAGCAACTGCTTATGCAGAGAACAATGTACCCAGTTTTGGTCTGGGAAATTAACACCTGCAATTATACATAAAAGAAAAGAGTAAGACAAAGTGTAAACATTGGGGAATGGCATGTAGAGAAAAATGTCATAAGTTAGAGTCATATGACTTCCAGTCATAAGTTAGAGATGCACGTACAATGGTGGAAGATCATAGAAATGTCTATGTTTAGTACTCTCTAAGCTCTTCTCTGTGAAAGAGAGTATTAAGACTGAAATGTATGGCTTAGAGACAGAGATCTGTATCACAACTGTTCTTCTACTTTGATTGCCCTCTCCCTCCTTACCTATCCTACTTTTAGCGTTCCTACTTTTATCCTTTAAGATCCAAATTAAAAGTCCCATTCACGAGAAAGCTTTCACTGGGATCTCCTGTCTTCTCTGTAGTTCAGTACTTAGTCCAAACCTCAATAAAATAATTTTAATTAATTTGTTCAACCACAAATATTTATTTATTAATGTTATCATGTTGCTTTAATGTTTGTCCTCCCTAAGATGGTGTGAAACTTTGGAAAGCAGGGACTGTATTCTCGTCATTTTTGAATCCCTATCATCTAGCACATTGCCTGGCATACTGTAAATGTTAATATTTATTCTTTGATGAAAATACAAATAAATGAATTGCTTGGTGTCACAGATGTCTTAAGCAATTTCAGTAATAATAGCTAACACTTGTATAGCACTTATTATGCACCAAGCACTATTCTAAGCAATTTATATAAATGTACTAATTTAATCTTCCCAATCATTTTATGAGATAGGTACTGTTATCAGCCTCATTTTAAAAATAAAGGAACTTAGGCAAAGGGGAATCAAGTAACAAGCGCTAAGTCACCTAGCTAATAAATGATAAAGTTGGGTTTCAAACTCAAGTCTGGCTCTTAACCACTACACTGTTACTGCTTCTACTCACCACATGGATATGCAGAAGAAAATCACCAATAATAAGGGTCTGAAAACTAGCCAGTTTTCCACCATTGAAGTGAGTTCATTGTGATATATCTCTGCTGTATTAAATATATTAATGATAGATGGTAGCAGGAAACCCAAAGATCTTTGCTGTGGTTACATAAAACAGTTTAATTGCAAAAAGGAGAAAAAGGAATTGCTTTATGTTTATATGCTTAATGTTTATATTAATGGCAAAAATGTAGGTATTAGGGAAATAACAGCAGTGGAAAATCAGTATTATATGTTAACTTTGAGGACTGAGGTGACTCTGGAAATTAAGGCTTCATCTCCTTTTCATAGGCAGAATTGCAGACATTGGCAGGCTTTTCACATAGCACCCATGGCTACCCACTAAAGCTGTGGTCTTAAAACTTTTTTGTTCATAGACCTCCTAAAAGAATTTTAAAAAACTGTGTATCCCTTCACACATTTTTAAGTTGATATCATAAGGTTAAATAATTGTAAAGAATGTGATTTTTGACATACTGTATAGACATTTAAAAATAAAACTAGAATGCCCTATATTTAAATGCATCTCAAGAATCTAATGACTTGATAGCCACCATTATCCATTGAAAAATACATGAACAAATACTCTTTAACAGTAATAAATTTTATATAAGACCTTTTTTCTCCTTTTAACTCATGTCCATTCCACAACTCTATATGATTTTATTATAATTATTTTATACTTGAGAGTCTCTTATCACACTTATATGCTTTTACACAATAAAATTTTTTGTACACATTTTTTAAAATTTAAATATCCTTTGATCATAAGGTTCTAAATGGTATCATGTACTTTATATTTTTGTCAAATCCTTGGAGCTACATATTTGGCTCTTTCAACTTTGGAAAATGTCCTTCATATAACCTAATTAGCTGGATGAGTTCTCATTGTCAATCCTATCAATCAAGTCTGACAGAGAAGTCTGACTTCATTTTTCAATTCAAATAAACATGTTAACATGCATCTCTCTTCTGAATTCAGATTCTAAGATAGAAAGATAGATAAGTCTTGGAGCTTTGCCTAGGGGTTATCACTTGGCCAAAATAAGGTTCCACTGCCTTTATTATCCCTTACTAATGCCCCCTTTGCCTTATTGTGAGGGGACCCTCCCTTAGGAGCAATGCATGTTTTGATAGTAAGGGAAGAGGGGTGCTGATAAATGGAACTGATAAAAATTATCACTGCCTCCTCATGCTACAATATACTTGAATTCAGAGCATCCAGGGGCCAGAATACTCTACTTCTAATGCCAAGCTTCACTGTTAAATAAGTAAAAGGCAGGAATCCCTATTATAGGTGCCTTGATTAAATAAAAATGGCTGCCCCAAACCTGAACTTTGAATTGTTCCTTTGGCACCTGGAGACTTTTACACTCTAGGGCAACGCACCTTGGAAAGATTCAGGATAGCTGAAATGTAAGCCTTTCTTTTGTAAAGTAGGAGAAAGGATTCTATCTTTTGGGGAGTAGGGTTCCTACCCCGATGTTGGGTAGGAAAGGAAAACAGCATGATGCATAGACCAATCAGAGGAACATTCTTAAGGTAGATCAGTTATAGGAAAGAATCGTATAAAGTTGAGGCTTTAGAAATTGATCCTCTTAAAACCATGTGTCCCATTGTGGTCTTTGCCCAGTTCCATGTACTTCTAGAGGTGTGCATAATCCCAGCTAAAGACTGAACTGAAGGATAGACTTTATCTGTGAATGATAATCCAGAAATGGACTATTGGTTCCATAATGATCTTTTCAAACACTCACATAAAGGTAATGATTTATAACTGTAGTTTTATATTCAAAAAAGACAAATGTGTGTATATGTGTGATGTGACAAATTTCTCTTGACTATTGTCATCCGTAATTACTAAATTAGTTGATTTTGTTATTGATTTGTTTATCTGAGACAGAGGACAAACATATCTTCGGGGCCAGCCAGTAGTATTTTTTTGGATAATTTGTGTTCATGGTATTTTTTTTTTCAACACTTAAAAACCAGGAGATTTAACATTAAAATCCAGATTTATACTTTTTGAAAATTGGAAAATATGGCAAAACTAGAGCTGCATTTCCACTTGGCAGCAGTCAATTAGATCTGAGCTGTGACTCTCCCCTTTAGACAATGCATGTGCTTTTAGTTCACTCATTTATGTTTTCTGCCTGGTCTTTGTAGGTATTTATATTTGTGACCTCGACCTTGGCATAAATGCTAGTCTCTTTTCTGCTTGTTAGCATATTAGAATATTATTTAACTTGAAAAATAGATAAAATAACTGCTTGTATTATTTTTTTAAGCATATCAGTAGTTCTTAAACAGGACAGTTGAATACCAAATCGGCATTTTGCTTTAAATCATTCCTTAACCTTGTTTTAGAAAGAAATAGATATTTTTCTTCCTCTACTTTATTTCCCCTTTTCCCTTTGGCTTAGAACTGCACTGGTTGTGAGGAATAATCTGAAAGACTGGATAGAGCAATTGAAAACATAAGAATAAGAAAAAATGCTTAATGGTGGATTCGATGACCTGACTAGAAATAAAAGAAATGAAAATGAAAATGAGGTAGTTTTCATGTATTAAATTAGCAAAGATTGATACTACTCAGTGTTGATAAGGAAGTAGGGAAACAGTCACTCTCCTTCACTGCTTGAAAGAATGTAAATTAACACAATTTTATTGAGAGGAGTTTGGGAGTATATATCCAAAATCTTTTAAAAGATGCATACATTTTAACCAACCATTCCACTTCTAGAAAGGAAATATTTGGTCACGTACGCAAGATAGATATTGAAAGATGGTTATCACAATATTTCTATATTAGCAAAAAATTGGGTGTAATTTAAATGTCCATCAAAAGAGAATTGGTTAGATAAATTATGATATATACTTAATGTACTAGAATACTGAATAACCATTTAAAATGTTGGTAAAGATTCAGTGTCAAAATTTGACTTGTAAATATCATGTAACTTATAGAAGAGACCCCCATCATCAGAAATGGCAAGTCTAATATTATACTTCATTTTTATGTAATATTTTAATGTTACGGCAAAATGCTATTCTTTACCTGGTTATTATCAAATGGGTGCTGACTTACATCGATTTGTCAAGTTCAGGAAGCATTAGCTGTCAGCTAGCTGGTGACATGTTTGGTATGAGAAATGTATTTTTGTTACACAAGTAGAATATATTGTCTCCTTTTCTAAGCCAAGACTAATATTTTGTTTCCAAAGGAAAATTCAAACATTTTCCACATTATTCTTTCTGGACAGTTGTAGGTTTTGTTCCAAAAGCAACATTCATAGATTCTCTGTTTTTCTTATCAAACTTGAAATAGGCCATATAGTTTTGTGAATCTACTTTATTTATTTGTTTACTTTTTAAAAATCTTTACTTAGTGTGAAATTTTCATTTTGACACAGCAAATGGTAGCAAAACAACTATTGTTATTCCAGAGAGATTCTAATTCAGGCTTTTTTTGAATCTTGGTAGAGACTGACATTTTCCATAAATGTACTATATTCTAAATTAATTTTTTGCCCCTTTTTATACAAAATGCAAGTTCAAACATTCTTCCTAGATCAAATCATTGAGTAGACAAAAACTTTGTTTTTAAGTGTTGTGTATATTTTTAACAGTTTCATAGAACCTTTTCAAAATGATAAAAGAACTGGAATATTTCATAGATTATAATCTGATGTCACTCAAACTCAATTTTAATGTGCATTTAGATTTGTAAATATTCATGTATAATAATGATGCAATTAAATTAAGTACCTTATATGTTGTTATTCAAATAAATCAGAGAAAGAATATGTTTATCTTTATTACATGTGAAGCTTCCAAATTTAATGTAAATTTCTCATAAGATTAATGTGAGCTAGCACCCCACTTCCTTGTTTCTGATGTTCAAGAACATGTTATTTAAATCTTTGTTGTCTCTCCTAGCTCATTCGTCATACATTTTGCATAAGATTATTTATGTTTACCATCTCATCTACTTTTTGAAATATTTTTCCTACAGTTATGCAGAAGGCATGGAGGGAAAGAAATCCTCCAGCTCGAATCAAAGCAGCCTATCAAGCTTTAGAATTAAACAATGAGTAAGTTTGAAATATGTGGAAAATAAGTTTGTTTTGAAGGAAACCCAGGCAGATGATTTTATGTTTCCTTTTGTCTGTCCCTAAGATACTTGGAGTCATTAGCAGCCCCCTTTCTCTTTTTGCATACTAGAGACAAAATTTCCAGTGTTCACTGACATCTGTACTTTGCTTCTGAAATTGTAAACTTATCTATGCTTTTTTTTTTTTTTTTAATTTTTTGTTTATTGCAGTAACATTGGTTTATAACATTGTAAAAATTTCAGGTGTA